GTACACTGGCTCTTGGATCTAAGGAGGTGCTAATCTAGCCTTTGCCTGAGGCTACCCAGCAGAAGCCAGCTGTAAAGCAATGCAAGTTGCCCTGGGGCCTTGGGGCAGCTGCAGTTTGTTAAGTTATTTTCAAATTACAAAGGGTCGGGCCTTTCATATGCACGGCTTGGGTGGGGCGGGGTCCCAGGGGATCAACAGGGCAGCGGAGCGAGCAGTATGGCTGCTCTCAGTCCTGCCTTCAGAGGTCCTGGCAATCGCTGCGTGTGCCTCCGAGAGAAAGCTCCCCTCGAGTTCCAACGGATGCCAGACAGTCCCGTTTCTCCCGTATGAGTCTGGGTCCCCAGAGACTTGCCTGGAACTGGAGCTCAGAGCCTGAGACTCCCTCCCTATTTAAAAAAGACAAGCGTGTCCTCAGCCGCCAGCCCTCTCCACATGTACTCCGCACCTTAGTATTTTACTTCTGCACTGCACCTCCTCTGAGTCTTGGTATGGTTTTCTCTTCCCTTCTAATTGTAGAATTTCCACTCAGCCAGCCTTCCTGTGGTTCTGAATGATATCCGTTATGTCTTTTAGCTGTATTTTTGAAGTGGTTGTGCGAGGCAGCAATGTCCGGTGTTTACCTATGCTGCCTGCCATCTTGGTTTTTGAGAAGTTTTTTTTTTTCTTTATTTGTAATATGAATGGATTGGCTTAGGTTCCTGGTACCATGAAAACAATATGATTCTTTGAAACCATGAGAGAAGTCCCTCACCCACTTCTCATTTATTTTTATATATGTTGACATAAATCATGCCATCAGAGGTTTATTGTTAGTTTCTAACCCTCCCATCTCTCATTTGAGATTGAAATTCCACTCAGTGAGGTAAAGTTTTTTTAATTGTAATTTTTAATAGTGATGATGTAACTTCATGATATCTGAACAGCAGTTTGATCAACTTCAAACTCCTTTTCCTCTTCTATACACAGAACAAATTTCCAATACTCAACTCGATGCTTTTGAATTAGAAGAACGGGATTATTGTTGAAGAATTTTGTACAATGGCAAAGCTAATATATGGTTAATTATAAGATTAAGATATTGACTCTTTTAATAACTTTTAGATACATGACAATCAGCTGACATCCCTTCCTTCTGCTATAAGAGAATTAGAAAATCTTCAGAAACTTAATGTCAGGTAAAATTTAAACTTATTTTTTAAAAGAATACTTGTAGTTTATTTTTTCCATCACTGTGTATCCCCTCTATGCCCTCTTCCAACAACCCCCTCCGCAATCACCACACTGTTGTCCATGTCCATGAGTTCTCTCTCTTTCTTTTCTTTTTTGCTCAATCCCCCCTCTGCCTCCTCCTCAACCACCACCACTGATATTTTAAAAAATGTTTTGCTAGCCCTAGCCAGTTTGGTTCAGTGGATAGAACGTTGGCCTGCAGACTTAATGGTCCCAGGTTCGATCCTGGTCAAGGACACATGCCTGGGTTTTGGGCTCAATCCCCAGTAGGGGGCGTACAGGAGGCAGCCAATTGGTGATTCTCATTGATGTTTCTCCCTCTCCCTTCCTCTCTGAAATCAATAAAGATATATTAAAAAAATTTTTTTTCTAACACTAGAAAGTATTTTTGTATTACCTTAGAAAGTGGTTAAAGCAGAATAAGAATGGTAAGTTTTAATTCTCAAGTTATTTTTATTTTTTGTTTTAGAATTGTCTATATACTTTCTGGTTTTACAGATTCAAGGCCAGTTGATTTTTTAAAAATACTTTTGTTTTGCCCTGGCTTGGTAGCTTGGTTTGTTGGCGTGTCATCCTGTACACCAAAAAAGGTTGGGGGTTCAATTCCTGGTCAGGGCACATAACTAGGTTTTGATCCCTTCTGGGGCCTGTGGGAGGCAACTGATAGATGTTTTCTCTCTCTTTCTCTCTCTCTCTCTCTCTCTCTCTCTTTCTCTCTCTCTCTCCCCCTTCTTCTTTCTCTAAAAATCAATAAAACATATCTTCCCGTGAGAATTAAAAAATTTGTTTTATGAAACAATTTTATGTGGTTATTTTAGAAAATCTCTGTGTTGATATCTGAAGTTTTAAGTTATTTTGATATAAAAATATCTAAATGTTAAGCAATAGGAATAAACTGAAAACAGTTCTTTCATTAATGATGAAAAATTTGGTGGTTTTGATATTAGTGGTTTTTAATGTTTTCTGGGGACTCCTAGGATTCTGTGGATATGCTTCTGGTACTCATTGACAGATGTCTGAGAGGCCAGGCAGCCAGGGCTCTTCATTGCACATCCAGACATTCAAGAAAGAATAACCATCTACCTCACACACACACACACACACACACACACACACACACACATACACATATTAGGAGAAAAAAGATTAGGGAAGATTTCATTTAGGAGGGAAAAAAAAGGAGTAAGTATTCAAAACATAGTTTGCAAACCCGGTCAGGGGCATGTACCTTGGTTTCGGGCACATGCCCAGTGTGCAGGAGGCGACTGATCGATGTTTATCTCTCATCGATGTTTCTGGCTCTCTGTCTCTCTCCCTTCCTCTCTGTGAAAAATAAATAAAATATATTTTAAAAAAAACAAAAAAAAACATAGTTTGCAAACTAAGATTTATAAAATAGATATTGTTACAGATCCGTCTAACAATAGTTTAGCCAAGTGTCAGTTTTCTGAAGGTATGTTAACTGGTTTGAGGAAAAACAGTACCTCAAACGACAGTCCTCATCTGGTGAAAACTTTAAAATCACCATAAATCAACAAAATTATTTATACACAAAAAAGGTGCTAATTGTTTACAACTATATTAGAACTTCCCCTTACAAGTCAAAGCATGGGTGTGGCCTGCAAAAGCAAGACTAGGTTGGGTTGAGAGGAAGAGTGAGGGAGAATTGAGCTCATGTGGCTTTAGTTTTAGCTTCAGAGTATGAACATTAGGAAGGAGGAAATAAATGATGAAAAGAAATGGAGGAAGTATATAGCTAGAATTACTCTGCTCAACTAGCTCCCCATCAAATATACAAAGATTTTGATTATATAACCAACAGTAGTAACCAGTTTCTGACAATTTTCAATGGTTCTTATTTTAGAACACCTTTTGGCATTTTTATTTCAACTAGTTCTATTTTAATATAACTTAAGGTTATTGTTAGTTACCCCATTATACATTTCTCCATTATCTGTTGAATAATTGTATGTGGCGTGAAAAGAGAGTGGAATTCCCAAGTGAATAGTTGTGGTAAATCTGGGAACAGCCTAAGCCATCTCTTAATTATCTGGGAGTGTGTCATCCTCGGTGACTTGGGACTTCTCTTAAACCAGTAAGCCAAGTGTCTCTATAGAAGGACTGAGCTGAAATGTTAAAACTAGGTACAAAGAAGAGTGGAGTTTTATATTACATTCAAATGGACATGCCAGGTCCTCAGACAGAAACAACTATTTTTGTCCTGGGCGATAACTTTAAAACATAACCCCCATATAAGATGTGCTGCATTGTAGTGTGTGTGTGTGCACATCTTTGTAAAAATTCTGAAACTCAGGTGCAGTATAAAGTAGTAAGAATCCCATGTATCCTTTCACACGATATGTAAAATTAAGAGTTGATTATAAGGCAGCAATCAAAAGTTCACAAATTATTTGGTTAAAAATCTTTTATTTCTTTGTTGTTTTCCATTGAAACCCTCAATTTGATTACTTTAGGATATGAAGCTTGATAACTTCAATATTAGTAAACATATTTCATGTTTTTAATGAGTTCATGTAGTTGGTCAGCATAAAAAAACTTTTATAAATATTTAATAAGTTGTCAACCGATGATTAGGCATTTATTTTATTAATAGCCATAACAAACTGAAGATACTCCCTGAAGAAATTACAAATCTAAGAAACCTGAAGGGCCTGTATCTTCAGCATAATGAACTAACTTCTATACCAGAGGGATTTGAACAACTGTTCAATTTAGAAGATTTGGTAAGTTGTGATTTTTCAATTTTTATATAATTTGGGACTGATCACATTTTTCATTAGGCTGAGAATCTTTATGTATGATTAAAATCATGAGGAAATGGGCAACTGATCATATGATTAGGTTACTGGAAACTATGCATTTCGATTAGATCATCAAATTAGTAATTGTAAATTTGTTTTTCTTGTTTTCCTATGAAATCACCTTAGGTTTTAATTTAGGAATAGAGTTTGGGAAAGGGGTGATGAGAATCACTTTGTTATTCAGTGGCTTTTATGGCTTAGCAAATTAGAGGAAAGGTGTTTTGAGCATATACCAATTCCCTTTTCTATACCCATTCCACTTCCTCCTTTATAGGCCTGATAGCCTTCCTGTCCTCTGATTACCCAGGTAACCCCTTAAAGGCCTGCCTTTTTGCTCTATTTTTTAAAATGGCAACATAATCTGGCAAAATTGTTATTACATCTGTGTCACATCTTAAGAGATAACTGTAAAGCAATAGAAATATTATTTTAATCATATTATTAAGTTTATAAAAACAATGGGCACTTTGTTTTGTGCTTTACATATGGCAAGGTAGATAGTTTTATCCCCTAATACAGATAAGAAACTAGGCTTATAAAAAAGAAGCAACTTATTGGAAGTCATTCAACTAATAAGTAAGGAATTCAGGATTTTAATGTAAGTCAGTTTGACTCCAAAGTGTATTTATCCCTCCACTTTACCACTGAAGGAATAACATTCCACTGTAAGGTATCCCATCAGAAAGCCATTAGCTATATTAGATCAGATGTTCTAATAATTTCTACCCCACATAGTAATTTAGTATTATATTTTTGTTCTTTTCCCTCTTACATGTTTGGAAAACTAATTTATGTTATTTTAGCCTCAAAGTTTATTTCTTTAGGGAAAATTACTTCTTTCACTTCTATTTTTTTTTTTTTCTGTAAAAACATCCTTCTTGATATATCCCATTATCTCCTCTAGTGTTTGAAATCAAAATACACACTCTCTTCAACCATTCCTTTAGTATCACTGTCAATCTAGTTAGATTGGAAATAAGGTTTGGAAAGTTAGGTAGATAAAGTGAATGGCAAAGAAGGGAAAGAAGGGCTTTTCTTAGGAATTTAATGGAAAAGGGGAGCAATTGAATTTTTTTTTAAGAGTCTATAGTAGGAAAAAAACGTGATAAACTACAGCAGTTCCCAGTTATTTCTTTGAATAGGTTCCTGGATTACAGGTAGCATAATGAAAGGATGTTTCAGTGAGAATTGTGTTAAGGATTCAGTATCAAATAAACCATAATGTGAGCAACAATATATTAAAACATTAAAAGTATAAGAATCTAATTAAATTTTTAACTTTTTTAGTAATTAGTTGATTTGGTTTATTTAAAATGAATTTGTGAAGACTTAATATCTTTTCTCTAATAGGAACTTTTATTTTAAGCTTTTTATTTGGAATAATTTTAGAATATATATATACACACACATATATATAGTTAAGTGATCGACTGACTGACTGTCCAACTGACCATCTGGTACATATGACGCACACTGGCAGTTTAAAAATAAACGTTGTCTTGGGCATGCTCGATACATACAAAGCTCTCGGCGCCTATCGCATGTGTGTGTTAATTTTATAATACTATATTATGTATACTATTATAACATTTAATTTTTGCAGTAACATAATTACTGCACAAATCTTTCTTCTAATTAATTTCCTTTCAATGTGCATGAATCCGTGCACCAGGCCACTAGTAGAAATATAAAGAGAGTACAGAGTTCCTGTATTCCCTTCACCCAGATTTCCTTAATGTTAGCATATTACATAACCATAGGACATTTGTAAAAAGTAAGAAATTAATATTAGTACAGTATTACTAACTAAACTATAGATTTTATTAAGATTTTTCCAGTTTTCCACTAATGTTCTTCTTTCTGTTCCAGGATCCAATCCAGAATACTACATTGCATTTAGTGTCAGTAACTTTTAATATTATACAATATTTATTTATTAGTAATCTATTAATTCTTAGAATTTAGAGTGTTGGAGTTGTAGATTATTATGTTGTATGTTATAGATTGCGGTGATATGTTATTTTCCTATTGTTTACAATATAACAGTACTGTACTTTTAATGCATTTTTTACCTTTTTGTATCTTCTTGATTTATTTAGAATTACAGAATACAATTGTTTAATTTTAGACTAATTGAAAGTCTTCAGAGAGAATTTCCTTTAAGTTATTTTTTTTTCTATTCATTGTTACTATTGGACCTTCCTAACAGTTTCCTGGAAGCTAATGGAGTATTTACACCGAATTCAAATATCATAAGAAGAATTATTTGTTTTACAACATTGTCTTTTAAAGGGAGTTTCAAAAAGAAAGTTCTTGTGTAATTGTTTAAAGAAAAAACAGAAACAATGACTGAAAGAAACATTGTGGTATAAAGATTAATTAGGCAAGCTTGAATGAATGAATACTGTAGTAGTGTAGTGGACTTCTAGACTTAGTCAAAGCAGACTTACTGAGGTCAGCAGAAAATCAAGAGGGAATATTTTTTCCTCAAAAATTAAAATGGCCATATTTTTAGCTTTAGTCCCCCCCCCCCAAGAATCTTTCTTTCTTGTTAAGTTAGATTTCATTTCGTATTACGGTTTACCCATAGTTTGCCCTATTTATCACAGGCAATCAATAAATATTGGATAAACAAATGGATTTTTCGTATTGAAAATAGGATACATAGTACAGCATGACTTTTTATAAACTGTTTCTGAAGTCAGAATTTATTCTGATTTCTCTCTGCTACATTATTGGGCACTTAGTGGGCCCACAGAATATTGAGGTAATGAATGATGATTTGTGAAATTATCAGTGAAGGAGGGTTAAAAAATACCCTCAGAAATATATATGTATATATATTTTAAAAATGTTTCAATTCGTGCATAATTCTGGAATACCCTTTAGGGATAATTTATTTATTTTTATTGTTCATTCATTCATTCTGTCTTTCTCTTTTTAAAGGATATTTCAAATAATTGTCTTACAACTGTTCCTGCTAGTTTTTCTTCTCTATCCAGTCTGGTGCGACTCAATCTTTCCAGTAATCAACTGAAGAATTTGCCAGCAGAAATAAGTGGAATGAAAAGTAAATCTCAGTTTTAAGAAATACATATATTTGAAGTTGGTGAAACTTACTTTTATCAAAATAAATTTTAATACAGATACTTGCAGAAAAGTAAAATAATAGATTATATGGTGGTAAATGCAAACAATAACTAGTCAGATTTTCTCCAGGCCATTATCTATCAACTTCCTTAACAACACCAAAAAATACTTCGGCATATCAAAAAAAAGGAAAAGAAAATATGATTATAAAGTGTGACAAAATTTTATACCTGAGAAATTTAGGTTTTGAGCTGTGCTATATTTTCATTCTTTCATTCAGTATTCACTAAGAGGTTATTCCTTTCTCATAGGTGTTTCTATCTATGACATATGGTTTTGTCATTGCTGTAGCCTCCTTGTGGCTCATAATTAATAATGACAAGAGATAGTCTAGTTTTGCCTAAATTATGAATCCTTTTTAAAAATATGTTAAAATCTAGTGCTTCTATTACAGTTTTCCACTGAACCATCATATTGAAACTATTACAGAACAAATATTAAGGGATAAAAATACGTAAGGTACATTCTAAGTACCTTTTAAATAACTATACTTAATCTTAGAATTCTTGAGTTAGAGTTCAAAATCATTAAACCGCTTTTTTTGTTTAAAGGCAAACTGTTATTTCTTGGTTGATGACCACAGTGTGTATCAGCTGTAGACTATCTAGTCTATTCTGCTAATCATATATAAGCCATCTTCATTTTTTAACCCTTGTTTTGTAAAGGAAATCATAAAAGTGATTTTGTATAGTTTATTACAGATCATTTGGAGGTGAATTTGTAAAATTGTGTATTTTATTTTAATAGTTATTTGTCATTTATAATAGGAATTATAAATTAAATCTGCATAAATCAAATTGATGTTTCAGGGGAGCCTTTACTTGTGATACCAGTCTTAACTGCTTTTCTTTGCCATTTCCCAATAAAGGTATTAGGAAATAGAGTTAAACATAAAATAGGGTATCTGGAGTGAGTATATAAGAAACATCATTTTTCATAAATTGAGTGGAAATATCTTGAGATACAGGAACAGATGAATATACAGCAATTTTTCTAATATCTATAATAATAAAAGCATAATATGGTAATTAGACTGGACAGCCGAAAGATCTTCTGGACATCCTTCTGGACAACCTTCTGGACAAAGCCGGGGCTGCGGGGGCCGAGGCAAGCTGCCACGGCTGTGAGGGCTGAGCCCCTTGCACAAATTTCGTGCATTAGCCTCTAGTACTGTGTAATTAATGATCAGATGCTTTCTGTACTTCAGTCACAGCAGCAATACTTTAAAGCTGTCATTATTAGGACATTTAGTAGTTATTTCACTATTAATGACTGGATTCTGAGGACAATATCTAACATTTGTATGTTTTTTAAAAAACTTAAAATGCTTTTACATATAAAGTTTTGACATTTAGGGGATGAGCATATTATTTACATTTTAAAGATTCATAAACCTAGACTAGAAATTATATTGTAAATTATAGAGCAAGGGATTGAGTCCTCTTACTCCATCATCCCCACTACTCTTTAAACTATATACTGTTTGTATTCTCAATCAGGGCTTTTAAGGTGCAAACAGTTGTGAAAACTGCAGCCTCTAACTTTCAAACACACTTTTGTTTATAGAAGTTACTGGATTTAGGGTGGATGAGATTGTGATATTTTTCTTAATGCTCTAGCTAAATAATGTATTTTATTATTAGTTGAAAGTAGTACTATTACATTTAATTAAAGAAATTAGCTTTTTAATCACCAAAAGACTGCAGTCTAAGGTATTGTAACAACTCAGTCTTGAATTATTTTAAAATTGACAGGCTTACAGTACAGGAAAAAAATGTTGTAAAATGTATATAGCTTATTCAAACTAGAGGATTGAGAGTGAAGTATGGAAAGTTGTGGCTATTATAAGTGGAAGAATCTGTATTATGGGTTAGGGAGAGAATTGCATTTTGAAGTTTTAAGTGAAAGAAGACCTTTACTTTTTTCAGTTTTGTTTTCTGTTCTGTTTTTTTTGTTTTGTTTTTTTAAATTTGAGCTATCAAGTAAATATTAGAACTTTGGAAAACATATCTACCACCATGAGTTTGATAGCTTCTTTATTTTATTTATTTATTTTAAAATATATTTTATTGATTTTACAGAGAGGAAGGGAGAGAGATAGAGAGTTAGAAACATCGATCAGCCACCTCCTGCACACCTCCTACTGGGGATGTGCCCGCAACCAAGGTACATGCCCTTGACTGGAATCGAACCTGGGACCTTTCAGTCCGCAGGCCGATGCTCTATCCACTGAACCAAACCGGTTATGGCAATAGCTTCTTTAAAAAAAAAAAAGAGCTATCAAGTAAATATTAGAACTTTGGAAAACATATCTACCACCATGAGTTTGATAGCTTCTTTATTTTATTTATTTATTTTAAAATATATTTTATTGATTTTACAGAGAGGAAGGGAGAGAGATAGAGAGTTAGAAACATCGATCAGCCACCTCCTGCACACCTCCTACTGGGTATGTGCCCTCAACCAAGGTACATGCCCTTGACAGGAATCGAACCTGGGACCCTTGAGTCCGCAGGCTGATGCTCTATTCACTGAGCCAAACCGGTCAGGGCCTGTTCTGTTTTTTTTAAGAAAGAAAGGTCCAGGAGGTAAGAGCGAGATGCTGCAAGTAAATTCTTGTCAAGGGTGTTAGCTAAGATGTGAGAGAAAGCATGTACTTAAAGAAAAAAAATAGAAGAAGAAAGGATGGAAAAAAGACAGAGGCAGTATGTATGGAAGAAGAATAAGAGGGAATACATAAAAATCCAAGGCTTTTTGACAGTCAGTTTCCCTATTTTAAATACTGATACGTCTAAGCTACTGATATCCAATTTTACATATTGTATGCATGTATAGTTTATATCTATCTTAAGCGGTTTCTTTTTGAAGGTATATAATTATGGAGGAAATAATCTCATAATGTATACTTTAAACAAGGTGGGGCAAAAAAGGTTTAGAGTTGTGAGTATGCAAAATAGTTTATTTATTATTGTATTATTTTTTTATAGGAACAACTGTAAACCTACTTTTGTCACACCTTGTACATTTTAGAGTACTTTAACAGAGTACCAAAGTTTTAAAAAATCTGTTACAATGATGACATGGACTATTATAAAACAATTTTAATATCAATTCTCTTATAATTAAATGAAAAAAATCTTAGTTCATGTTTATTTAATTCAGTGGCATTCTAGGATTCTTGATTATTATAAAAGTATACAACAGCACAGATATATAACTTCTCATGATTACGTATACATTTTTTGAATGTGCATAAAATTATAGACCAATATTTTTTCTTTATTAAAATAATTTTTTTGCTAAATATGTATTACAGGATTAAAGCATTTGGATTGTAATTCAAATCTGTTGGAATCTATACCTTCTGAATTGGCTGGCATGGAATCACTAGAATTGCTTTATTTGCGGAGGAATAAATTACGTTTTTTACCAGAATTTCCTTCTTGTAAATTATTAAAGGTACTATTTAGTTGATTATTGAGTAACTATATATTTTTCAAAAGTTATTTATGAAAATGAAATTTTTAATATTGCTTTACATTGGAAATATGTGTTGTAAGTGGTATGTTTTTTTATGTTAATAGTTTTTGGAATTTTAATATGGCTAAATGCATTAATGGTATTAGTAATGTATACATTTTTTAAAAGAAATAACTTAAAAATAGAAATTTGTCCATTTTACCTGATGATCAGTTTATACCTGGAGAAGTAGTAGATGATGAGGCTAACATGGTAAGTTGGGACCATATTGTAGGAGACCTGGAATACCAGTATATGTATCTATTTCTGTAAGTTGCCACCTCTCACGTTTACCTGATTATAATCAGATCTGTTTAAAATTAATTTCTTTTGGCTATAAGTATTTACCATTAACATTATCTTCTAAATTTGCCATGCTTTGCTTTCTTTTATGTATACTTTTTATGCATTAGTGTTAAAAACATTTAATACATGATGTTAAAAGATACTCTTAATGGGAAATCATTATATATAATAATTATCATTGAAAGTATGGAATAACAAACATAACAAGATAAATAACTTTAACTTATACTGATTTGTTTTAAAACTTTAATCTTTTGCCCTGGCCGGTGTGGTTCAGTGGTTGGAGCATTGGTCCATGTACCACAGGATCTCGGGTTCAATTACCGGTCCAGGGCATGTAG